GTATAGGGCCCATTACGTATGACAAAGGCGTATTGGCAATCACAACACTAGTCTTATCCTTTCACCTCTGTGTCGCCTGTTTGAATATAATTGAACGCATTAGATATTTATACGAGATGGTTATTTCGCAATCTCTCGGAGATTTGTGCATTTTACACTTAATCAGCTACATAACTGACATTTATTGCAGAGTGTAAAATTCTTAAATTTAAATAAAGCCTTCATTGATTTAAAAACGTTCGAAAGTAGGCACAATGGTTGCTGCTTAATTTTTCCTTCATTTCCAAGTTGGTACTTAACAGTTCCCAACTGCATACCACAGGACGCCGCTACTATACGAAATAATCCTATGTTTCGTGATTGAAGTAATGCTATGTATTGAATTACCTTAGAACCCCGAAAACTCTTTATTACTATGAAATATGTAAAACCAGTAACTCTATAACCACAAAAGTTTTTGACATACGCGAGTCGTGTTCAAAAACTGTTGAGAATATTTCAAAACATTGATTTTATGCAAAATAAAGCCTATTTCACAACAGGCAACAGGGACCAATGTCTTTTCCTCATACGAATAAAACTTAATTCCATTTTTTTTCTAAGGAAGCGTTATAAAAACAAATAAGCGTAAGTGGTGAATGTAGTCATGATATATTATATTATCACAGTGCAAGCGGCTACGTTATCGCGTCGACGCAACCGGTGGGTTATCAGCCGTATCGCGAGGTGTGCAAGTAAACAGCGCCTGCCTGCACTTAGCTATATCTACTGCTATACACCTACCCCACCTACTAGTGTCCGTAATGAAACCGCTCTTTTGTTCCCACCCTACCTCATACACTGTCCCTCTGACAGATAAAGAGGGTTGGCTACGGTTCTAGGCTAGACAAAGGCGTAAGTAACATACAAAAATTGTGGTACAGTACAAAATAATGTATCAACTGTAAGACTACAAATTGCTCATAGTAACTTGTCGAAGCCATAATATGTTTATGTTATAGATAATATTTAAAAAAAGATGCAATCCATATGTAATAAAATAGAATGTTAAAATATAAAAGTGCCTGTATTTTTTTTAAAACTGACATGTACGATCAACCCTAATCTAAGATAAACATTGCAATTTTTTTGGGTAAAACTTCCTAGTACTTATTACTAGTATTATCTTGTTAGTTATTTTTACAAATTGAAGCAATATTTTTGTGACTCCGGCCGTATCTCTAGTATATTTCGAAGCGCGTGGTGTTGCTATTAATAAAGCGCGACTGAATCACAAGTTGGCGCGCGATGTTATTGTCGTAGTTTATCTGCACGCCGAGCCGGCCGCCGCGCTGCCTTGATAACTCTACAAACATGCCTAGTTCTTGTCTATCGTGTTCGTGATTGATGTAGAGTTGTTTTCTGTGATAGTAAAAAGCTGAGAAGAATAGAGATGGAAGAGGTGGTAGCTCTATGCTGCATGCAACTATAATTATCATGGTTAAGTCTGCGTAATTGGGAAATTTTCTTATTAGGATTATAGAAACGATAACTACATTAATGACTAATGCAATTTTTAGTCGACTTCCATAAAAGGTTTTTCAATTCTACTACACCTAGTTACTTTTGTATCTATGATAAGCAATATCGTCGTCAAAAAACTGAATTTAATGATTGTTTTTTTATTAAATAGGTTATACTTCTTGGGTGGCCCCATGTAAATTTGAAGGAAAAATTTTACATTGTGGTTAATAAAGGTGAAATTTTTAACATAAATTAAAAAGCTACTTTTTTAAACTTTGATTTTGTAATAAATATTTCTTAGTCCACTAAAAAGGGACAAATAATTAATATTATATTAACAAGAATTTTAAAGAAATAAAGAGAATTTCAAATAATATTTTCTGAAATCGGGGCTTTTATTCGTGAAAAAGTTTTTAAATGATGAATATTCCATTACTAGATAATCCAGTAAACATTTTGTCAATGACAATTAACAATGTTTTGTGCAATTTAATGAGCGTTAAAAACTTTACTGTTATCAATTAATAAGGCTTATTATTTGTCTGGTTATAATAAAAAAAAAACACAAATATACAAATGCGATAAAAATAAAAAAATTATACAGCTTATAATAAAATTAATACTACAATCATCAATAAGATCATTGATATCCAACATAGCGGGGGAGCCTTGGGCCGAGTACTAGAAGTGGAATCACCGAGGGAGATAAACTAGCAGATTTTTTAATCATTAATCTGCAATAAAAAGTATTGTTATTATTATTTGTAAATTTTTCTATAGGTGATTAATGATTATATAAAATTATGTATTTTTTGTAGGCTGTTTTTGTCAAAAATAGTAGTAATAGTATTTTGTGATATTATACTTTGTATTGTCCATATCAGTAGCTTAAAGATAAAGTAACCGCAGCGTCCTCAATTGACTGTTTTATCTCCATTCCACTGTGACCTTGCTTGTGCCTCCACAAAACTATACATACGAATAATATCTGCCTCGATAAATCTAATTCGATATTTGTGCATATGATAACTATTGATTACTTGATTTTTTAAATTTAGCTGAAAAAAATAATTGTCGTAGGTGGTTTCTTTTGATTGCATTATGAATAATATAATGATATAGTGAAACACTTACTAAACTTATAAAACTGTTCAAATTGTAACAAAAGTGACAAAGATAATTTTGGTACATTTCCAAAGTTTGCTAAACGAAGCTCGAACACTAGTGTCTATCTACTAAAAACTAAATTATCCGTAATTATTAAGTCCATGGTGATTATGTGGTGATACTCCCTCCCCCCATCCCGTTGCTGATCTGCCATAGATCTGACAACTGCGTACAAGGGGATAGAGCAAATGGATATTGGAAGCGTCGCACGTTCATACTTGGTGTGCGACGTGCCGAAAATGTCCATACAAGTATCTATTCTTCTAAGTACATGGACTAGTTAGTATTAAATTTAGTAGTTCTTTAATTATCTGGTTAAATAGTAGACAATTACAAAGCGAAGTTTTAACTGCGAAAAGAAAAATATATACATACACACAATGCCTATTATTGTTATTATAAACTGCTTTACTTTGTAAACATATAGTACTTATCAAAGTTATTTAATTACATATAATGTTTTTTTTTAATGGAATAAGGATGACAAGCAAGCACTACAGTTCACCTGATGGTAAGTGGATTCTGTGGCCCATAGTAATCTATCCTCAGTTAAGAATCAAAATGCAGATGAGTAGTCTTTCCCGAGGACTAAGATAGAATGCCTAGTTTTCTGTAACTTGTACATGGTACTCTTTTCTGCCGACGTCTAAAAAGGAGACTGTACTCAATTCGGCTATGTTTTTTTTTTATGTGTGTTACCTCATAACTTTGTACTGGATGAACCGATTTCGAAGATTCTTTTTTATATGAAAGCTGATACTTCTCCCGTGGTCCCATATGAATTTGATCAAGGTCAGACCCATAGTTTTTGAGTTATTCTAAATAACTTATTGAAGTCGGCTATACAAAATTTTTAATTATTACTTTGTGGGTTTTTAATCCTGTTGTGGAAAAATAGTCCAATAAGTAACAAATAATAGCACTCATTGCGATCGCTCACAAACTCAAATTGTAAATAAATTTCTGGGAAAAAAGTTTCCTGTTAAAAAAAAAACAATGCGTTTGTCTTATTGTTTAATTTTGCTTAAAATGGTTGAACTGCCGTCTTATTCCTATCATATGGCCGAACAGACCTACGAAATACCATGTGCTCTTGTGATATGGTATAAGGTTTATTTTTGTTTGAAACAGTCGGAAACAGTTCATGCATAAAAAAAGTTCGCTAATAAATAGTCTTGTCAATCCGCCGCCGTATAGTGCCGGCGTTTTTTTTTTCTTTTGAAAACACTTGTTTTGCTATTCTTACTAATTAGACGTTTTCAGATCGACTTTACTTTTACATTTGTATAACATTAAATAATATTTAACATTTGTAAATATCAGTGAATCATAAACCTTAATTTTATCCAAATTAAGATTCTCGATTGTTTGATATTTACAAAAATTATTATTCGGTGAAAATTTAATTTAATAAAAACAGGTTTTCCAGGGTGATTTCGCTGTACCTACTTATATAAATGATTTTTTTTATAAAACAAAAAATAGTACAAAAGGTTTGTTAACTCTGCATAAAAAAATCACTTTCTCTCTAATTTCAAAGAAAACATGTAGAAAAACACGTAGTTACCCACTAAAAACAAGTATCCTTTCATTTGTAACTGATGTTTGATGTCAACTAAACTAAACTGTCTAAACTAGTGAAAAAAGCATAAAAATCAAAATTATTTTTACACATGGCTGAAGGCACAATAAGCGTGTCATCAACACGTGGCGACAATATTTGTTCGCCGCCACAGCTAAAAGTTGTCAAAAATCTGTGCCCCAACGAATCGGTTAAGATGCTATTTCACGCTGGTATTCTGTGAAAACGTGGTCCTATCCCAATTAAGCCGACGCATTCGTGCTATGACCATAATATAGCTGCAGTGTAGCTCGACCACACATAATAATAGATTTAGTAGTTCTTTAGCGATCAAGTTAAAAAATACAGACTGGTAGAATATATATACATCAGGAAAGCGAAGTTTTAGTTCTTTTTAGGAAGACACTGCTGCCCAATTTTTTAGTATTCCTCTGTTGCCTCTTACGTTATCCACATAAGTACTGGTAACACAAATTTATAATTCCATCAATTTTTTTTTTTAAATTATGCTACAAAATTTGCTACTCTAACTAAATTCACCTGATACTGGCTATACGGATGTTGATATAGTTTGAGTGAGCTTGAGCCATTAGATATATAAGTTATACTTGCAATTGTTGTCACCTGGTGAATCTTCAGCTTCATTTTTGTATTTTGGATACACAAGAGAAGGATATTCTTACATACCCGTGTGGCGAAAACGGACGTTTCTTATAGTTATAAATCGTGAAATTGTGTATTGTTGCAGATCCAGCAGGGGGGTGTTAGCAGCATGCATACTCTGGCCCAATCCGCCCAGCCGCAAATTATTGGTGAGTTAATATTGCTTCATAGATAATCATTTATGTGTTACAATCCAGTTCATCATCAATAATATAGTTATGTCTCATTGTCATCATTTCGGCCTTCCACAGGTCCACTTCTGAACATAGACCTCCTTCACGGAATGCCACAAAAAGCTTCTTGCATCAATCGACTTCTAACATGATACTAGACCTTAAACTTGGTGAACAACCGCATCTCAATTGTGATCACTCATCATTGAGAACACTCATTGTTTAAGGTAGAGAAAGACTGGTTCCACGTACGCAACGTATGCAACGCATTATGACGTCTGGACTCGTTGATTTTGTATGAAAAACTATGCATTAGAAACACTTGTCGTATGCAACGCAACCACACGCGTCCAACGCGATGTCAATCTGCGATGTCTATATCGGCGTGGGAAGGTGGAGGGGATGTTTGTACGCAATCCCACGCGTAAACTGACGAGATGTCCCGTAATCTATCTAATACAGCCCAGTCGAGTAAGATGTATAGATTGACCTCTTAGTCAAAGTTGAACTCACCTGACCGTCGATAACTTCAAGTGTAGTGTTCTCAACAATTATCGCCATAGTTGTGACATGGACGTTACTCTTGGGACTCGTTATGGACTATGCTGTATTTTTACATCTGTCTCTTTATTCTTTATTATCACATTCCGTCACATACCTTTTTGGATTTGGATAGGTGTCATACTCTGGTGCTATACTCTGACAGTTGTTATAGCCGTACTATACAAACACTATACAAGCACATCGCCCAAGGGACTGTAGGTTACCATTTTAAGGCAAGTAAAGCTATTCTTACATATTAATGAAGCAAGTTAATTTGACAATACGAGTACTTATACGATTACTATAAATTAATGGACTTGTTAGATTCCCCCCACAAAGTTAAAAGCGCTACAAGGCTACAAGCGAATCCTTTATTTGCAGTATCAGTCCCAGAATTAATATAGTGTAATATTGTTTTGTAATGACGTGATAATATTTTTTTAACCAGTCATTTACGTAGAATAAATATTTACATATATTTAATCTTCTGTCCTTGTTTTGTAAAAACTGAATTGAACAATAGAAATAAAGAAATAATACCGGTACTTTTATGAGTTGAGATAATGACTATGTTAAAGCGTAACAATCTGATTGACTCAAGCTTGAAGCTAAAATCTTTCAACCAAGGAGCAAATGACGGGTATTGTGCAAGTATAATAATAAGTATTTGAAGAATTTTTTTTTTTTTTTTTTTTTTTTTTTTATAGGATAGGGTGACAAACGAGCACACAGTCCACCTGATGGTAAGTGGTTGCTGTGACCCATAGACATCCACATTTGTCCTCAATGAAGAATCAAAATGCAGATGCGTCGTCACCCATGAGGACTAAGATGGAATGCCTCTTTTCCAGTAAAATGCATCTCCGGTTCTCTACACTCACCATACGAAACACAGCAGCGTTAAGCTGCTATTTTACGCTGGTTTTCTGTGAGAGCGTGGTCCTTCCCCGGTCGAGCCAACCCATTCGAGCTACAATTATACTATTAATATAGCTGCAGCAAGGCTCTACCACATGTAAATATATGATATATGATTCATAATAACCTCTGAGAATAATGAGGTGATTGTTACCCTGTTTTGTAATGTTTTTATGTTGAATTGTACTACATTTTAAATGTTATTAAAAAGTTTCACTGGGTTCATTGCTGATTCTTCCACAGGATCGGTGGCTATTGAATAAAACCTATTCATTAACAACTTGCCAATTGATAAAAGCTCTTTCATGAAAAGGTCCAACATTAACGATTAAAATAAAGATTATTAACTTTGTCGTGTTATTTTAAATTAAGAGTAGAATACTAACAGCAGCATCTCATTGTTGCAATTTGTTGATACATCTACTTGTATATGACCCATTATCTATCTGGGTCAATGATCAGTGCACTTAATATCCTTATTACTTTAGATATTTCAGAATAATTAGCTTTTATCACAATTTAACTTAAAACATCCTTATACTGTGTTTAAAAATAATATGCATCTTTCTTTGCACCAATCATTCGTTTTTCTTTGTTATCACAAGTGCACAGTCACTGTTTAGGATGAATTTATCTTCGGCAGCTGTAATCTATAGCAGCCGAACTGTTGCCTGAACTGTTTTTGCCGTGTTGGCGACGTAAGAGAATTCACTATCATCACCCTAGTATCATCCCTAGAGTGTCGGAAGAGGTGACAGTGGATAACTGAAACTGGGGGATGAGCATCAGAATCTGCTTCTCAACAACTCCAAAAAAAGCCGTCGCTAAGCGTGGCGTCTGTGGCAAATGTTTAGTAGTGAAGTTTTGATAGGCTGTAATGAAACAATGAATGGGTCTCCTATCATCCGATAGATTCGCTATAATCTGTACGCTTGGTAGAAGGGTAGTCAGTCGATCGCATCACGAGATCTCTCGCTCAGCTCATCCAGCTTTTCGATTATTGTCGGCATGTTTTTGATGCTGTTATAATATTTGAGATCATGAAATTACGGACGTTCCTATCAAGCTCTCCCCACAAACGTTCAATGGGATTGAGATTCTGGCTCTGAGGAGGCCAAACTATGTTTTTTAACACCCCTTGTGCCTCTTTCTCTTCCTAATTTCCTCTGCATAATTTTGAGCTATGCTTAGGATCATTGTCCTGTTGGAAAATGAATCCATCTCCAATTAATCGCAACCCCGAAGGAACGGAATTTTGTTCTAAAATTTTTTGTACTCCTCCTTTTTCATAATTCCGTCAATTTTGATAAAATTGCCAGTTCCTTGGCTAGAAAAGCAACCCCATACCATAATTGAGCCACGACCATGCTTGATTCTGGGACTGCACAGTCTGGCATCATCTTTTCTTGGTCCCTGCGTTGAACATAAATTCTTCGTTTTCGTCCATTCTCGATGGGCAAGAACCCATTGCATCCGTTTTAGGGTTCCGTACCTCAAAAGAAAAAAACGGAACCCTTATAGGATCACTTTGTTGTCCGTCTCTCTCTGTCTGTCTGTCTGTCAAGACCCTTTTTCTCAGGAACGCGTGGAGGTATCAAGCTGAAATTCATATCAAATACTCAACTCTACCGTCCCTTAGAGCTGTGAAAAAATCAAACTTCTAAGCCAACGCAATCAAAAGATACAGCCGTTTATGCCGTAAATTTTCGACATTCGCAAGGGAATCAAAACCTACAGGGTACTTCCTGTGAACTCAATCTTGAAATTTGGTACGAAGCAACGTTTTATTATAGCACAGATAAAGGAAAAATTGCGAAAATCATAAATTTTTAGTTACATCATATAATAAATATATTTTTAATAATTTAATCGAGAATTTGGTTTACAAATCTAATGAAATAAAAATAAAAGATAGGTTTTTTGTAGCCATTATGGCCGCCATGAAAGTCATTTTGACAAAATGCGCAATTTACTTTATAATTATTTTTTTTGCCTGAGCTGACCAACGAATAATTTATCGTCCATGCGTCGGAAACACTGCATATTCGTCTATGTTAGTTTTTTTGCCGTAAATCAGAATTTGTTAAACGATTAGTTCCGATTCCAATAAATATTTACGTGATTTTTATAATCGATTTATTTCAAAACCGATTTTTGCTAGTCTGTGGTTTTTCGTTATGGCTTGGCATAGTTTAGTGTACAACATCACTATAGTAAGTGGGCGTGACCTGCATGAAGTACAACAATATCTGTATGACAGTGTATCTAAAAAATACTAATCTTCATAGGTGTGAGTTTGTCATACGCACCATGCTACAGCGCAAAGACTATAATTAAGATTGTTTGTGAACAAAACCATGTAAACTCAGGTAATAATAAGTCGGAAACACGTGATTTTTGAAGGTAAATCCAATGGGAAACAAAAGCAAAGCAATTAGTTATTAGCACATCATAAAAATATTACGACTCTATCACCTGGCTCTAACGCAGCGTTTGTCGGTGTTTGAAAACAATACATGTTTATTGTCCAATAACTTGAAAGTAAATAAAAGAATGACTTCTTTAGATATTCGATATTGACAATGGACTATGCAGTTGTATATTTCTTTTATTTATCTTATGGGATTTAGTTACAATTAATAGATAATTATGTTGTTTAAGTGTGCTCTTAAACTTTTGGCCTGCAGTGTACATCTGGTTTACTCAAATTCTAACTTGGTAAGAGTTTTATTTTTCTCGCATTTTATGGTGCAATGCATCAATTTTCCTACATCCAAAATCACGGGCTCAAAATAACCTCTATGAGCACCTGTAATATAGAATTTGTGACAATATATTAAACAGCATTCGTCAAGTTTTATTGCATTGTATTCCACTGGAAGCAAATTCAATATACAAACAAGCATATTATAGACATTTATTGCAAGCGTCATTTCGATTTCACAATGGAATACAAATGAATAAAGTTTTTGTGACAAGTTATATTTTGGCGGACTTTGCCATAGTTTCGGAGCGTTCAATGTATTTGAGATTATCAAGTAATTTTTCTGTTACTTATTGTAATTTTCAGTAGGTTAAATTAAGAATGTTTATATGCATGTGTCCCCCGCAGGTGTATCGTCTGGCGGCGTGGGTAGTGTGGGTAGTGTGGGTAGTGTGGGCAGTGTGGGCAGTGTGGGCAGCGTGGGCAGCGTGGGCGGCGCGTTCGCGCGCACGCCGCGGCCCGCCGCGCCCGTCATCAACTACCACCTGAAGGGCGGCGTGCAGTACGCCGCTCACAAGCCGCTGCCCGCCCAGCCGCCCGCCCAGCCGCCGCGCCTTAAGGTACCTATCTCCTACCGCCTACCTCACCATACACATGACAACTTGCACATTTATACTCTCACTATTCATTACACACATGCACACACTACAAATGACAACTCGCACATACATATACGTCACTTGTTTGCTTTATAGCTATTGTATATTTATTATTATATATACTTTATTTATGGATATTATAATATACAGTGAATATGTTTTACAAATGTCTGCATGAAGGATGATGAAAAAAATTACCGTTTGATTACCATGACGATAATCAATGGCTGCAAATTTTTTATCTGACTTCAATTAACTCCCAACATATTACAGACTGGAATAATTTTATGAATTAGAGGATATCATTGATATCATTAGTACTTACTTTATTAAATTGAATATAAAAACATAATATTGCTCTAATTGCTGGTATATTCATCTAATTTCAATAGCAATATAACTACAAATATTTTATGAACTTAAACAAGACGTTGTGTGCAGTTGGCACACGCCCCGCCGCCTTTGGGGCGGCAGTCCCCAGGCGCTGTGGGCGGAGTGGGGGGCGTGACGGGCGTGGTGGGCAGCGTAGCGAGCATAGTGCCAGGCGTGGGCAACGTGGGCACAGTAGGGAGCGTGGCGGGCGTGGCAGGCGTGGCGGGCGGCATGGCAGCGAATGTGGGTGCGCCGCCCGGCCCCGGCGGCCCGCCCGCCGCTCAGTTCCAGCGGCTCAAAGTGGAGGACGCGCTCTCCTACCTGGACCAGGTCAAATACAAGTTCAACACGCAACCGCAAGTCTACAATGACTTCCTCGACATTATGAAGGAGTTCAAGAGTCAGTCGTAAGTCCCAATTACATACAACTTTTCTTAATATGCCAAATTGAATCTTATATTTCATGTACACTGAAAAATATAGCTCACTTTATTAATATAATTCATTATAATTCTATGCACCTGCCTAGCTAACGTGTCGATTAAAGAAAATATTTCAACAACAGAAGACTTATGGGGGGAAGGATGAAAGAAATAAAAAAGCTTGTCAAAGAAATTATTTTATCATCATTACCATTACAGTCCTTCACAAGTTCACTGCTGAACATGCAACTCCCGCAAGCAACACAGCACAGGATCCTCTTACCAGGTTGTCACTCCACTTAGTTGGGGGACGCCCTAACCTTGGCTTACTGTCTGAGGCTGCCACTCGAACCTTTCTTCGTCATCGGTTGTCAGTTATTCGAGCTATATAGCCGGCCCATTGCCACTTCAGCTTACTGATCCGTTGGGCTTTGTCGGTTATTCTGAAGATTGCTTGCTTGCAAGTAATTTATTTTCGTGAATAAAATATATCAACTAATAAATGCTTTTGCTGTATACCTTAAAACCCCTTTATTTTCCTTAAGAAATTACCTTTTAAAATTGGGTTAAGAAATTTTATATGAAAGTGCAACAATATTGAGCAACATCATTTATTATGTATGCATTCCACTGCTGAATACTTAATACCTCTTTTTTTCTTTAGAGAAAAAAAGAAAGATTTCAGTTTAACATGTCTAACATTTTCTCATTTGTATGATGTATGCCTAAAAGTAATAACAGGATATTTTTATTTGCAATATGAATGAGTCTAATACAATATTCATCCAATGTTTACATACTGTGATGCAATTTGTCTTGTTGTTGTGATGAATACTGTTTTTATACAAATTTAATGCTAGCGGAAGAGACGCGTAAGTGACGCACATGTAAACATGTCTTATAATTGGTGTATACATAAAAGATTATGCCTTTGGATCTAGCTGGACTATGTGAATTAAATTTTAAGATGTTGTTTGCCACTGTTTTTCCGTAATTTTTTTTTTTAACTCTTACTATCATGAGTAAATGTTAATTTTTTTTTTGTTCAAGCTTGCATGCAAACAGAATTAAATATATTAAAAGTTACCTTATATGATTAATATTTCTTCCTATGATGAAACAAATTACCGTTTGATTTCTTTGACGATAACCCATGGCTGCAATTATTTAAACTGATGTTAATTGTTTCTTTACATTTTCCCAAACTACCCGCACCTCTTTGTTTAACAGTACCACTTATTCTAGTATCGACACCCCGGGCGTCATCAAGAGAGTATCAAACCTATTCAAAGGTCACCCTGAACTAATAGTTGGATTCAACACTTTCCTTCCGCCTGGCTACAAGATAGAAGTTCAAAGCAACGGTCAGGTAAGAAATACTTTAAGTATGCCATTATCAGGTTTCTACTAAAAAAACGCAGTGCGTTTTTAGAAGACGCACCTGTCGTAACAAAATATATAATAATTTTTATGGTAAATTTGAGCTAACTGTGTTGTGGCATTGTAAGAAAATCCACTACCCCCATATCCTGCCGTGGGTGTGTCACAAAAGCCGATAGAGAGAAACTAAAACAGGAGATGGGTATTTGAGGAATAAACCGTATTGTAGCAAGTTCCTTTAGGTACAGCAACAATATTAGATATGTTGGATAGTGTACTTCTTCCTTGTTCAATCTATCCGAATAATTCGTCTCTCTGATTGTGTCAACGACGGAAACCTAAATAACTTTAAATCAGTGCTTTGAGGCTTCAACACGTTGATGCTTTTGGTCAACGGTGAGTAAACGCGGTAACCACTTGGATGGAACAAAGCTTTCTCATAGACAAATGCTTATGCAAAATGGTGAATGCACTACCTTTCGATATCTTTAGCTCGTCTGCTATTTCTTGCAATTTCATTTTATGGTCTTCCAAAACTATTCTTTATGTTTTCTGAAATAATAGTCTCATTTGGAGCGTCCAGAGTGTTCAGCATCATTCGTGTCTGTTCGTCCGCGCTTAAATTCAGCAAACCAACGTCTGAATTGTTGTTTTTGATGGAGCAGAGCACCATAACACTTGTCAAGGCAACTTTTTGCTTCAACGGTATTTTTCTTCATTAAAAAACAATGTTCAATTCTTTTTCGTTCATTGTTTCAATGATTTTCAAAATGGCGCCAAAAAATCACCGTAACTTTTAAATAAATAATTTAAGGTTATGAAAATTTTGCTCAGATTATATAGAAGTCGTTCTTTTTAAAAATAAAAATAATTTTTCCCTCATAGCGCCATCTATACGTCAGGCTCGGGACTTATTGACCGACGTAATAAATTGAATCCTGCTTGGAAACTATATCTTTTCTAGCGAGATTTCGTTAAATGAATTTTGAACTTATTATCGTTACAAAATTCGTTATTTGTTTACTATTTTTTTAAATGAATTACTTGTATGAGGCGTGGTAACATGTGGTAACTGCTAATAATTTGCATCTTAAGTTCAAATCAATCTTACTCAAACTAAAGAGCGTGATAAATAAAACATGCTGTGTTACTGAGTTATTTTTTTTTTATGATAGCTTGACAAACGAGCACACAGTCCATCTGATGGTAAGTAGTTGCTGTGGCCCATAGACATCTACATTTATCTTCGTTTGCGAATCAAAATTCAGATGCGTTGTCACCCGTGAGGACTAAGATTGGAATGCCTCTTTTCCAGTAAAAAGGGTCTCCAGTTCTCTACACTCACCATACGAAACAGCAGTGTTAAGCTGCTGTTTGACGCTGGTATTCTGTGAGAGCGTGGTCCTTCCCCGGTCGAACCGACCCATTCGTGCTACAACTATACTACTAATACAGCTGCAGCATGGGCCCTACCACGTTTTATTTTTTATTTGGGATTTAAAGATTTATAAGAGTGATTTAAATCTTCTTAACCAAAAGATTTGTAAATCTCTTTTCCTTTGAGAGATTTATATTGCGCATGTCTAGCGGCCATGCAATAAACACACGCACCTCTCCCAACAACTGTAAAGCGATTGATTCGGCTATCGGCTAGCGTGCTCCCCCCGCGCAGCGGCTATCACTCGTTTTAAAAGTTACAAGTCGAACAAAATGGCGTACATTAAATTTTAATACACTTACTTTAAGGTTTGTTTTTATATAGCAACGCTAGCCAGAATTTTATTCTTCGTTGTGGACGCAGTGCAAAATACCTATTTTTATTTTATTACACGTTTTAGGTAAAAAATATCAATTGTAATAAGGTCCGAAAGGTAAATTTTTGATAATGATATTCCGCGACAACGCCATCTAGAAGATATTATGAGATATTGCTCTTTATATCGTGAGACTCTTGCTCAAGACAGTAATATTTTGTATGAAGAACTGCGTCACTAAGAAAGACAACACTGTTACCGTAATTTGCTTTAAATAATTAAAATTGCCGTGTAGTGGCGGTCAAGAATATCCACTACCCCATATCCTCCCGTGGGTGTCGTAAAAGGCGACAAAGGGAAACAGGCAGGAGATGGGCAGCAGCATCTTCTTGATAACAACAAACTAACAATAAAAAAAAAACTGCGGTTGCCAACCCGCTCGCCAAGCGTGGCAACTATGGCAAATACCCCCCTATGAATGACAGTAACAAAGAAACGGCCCCCAGTCCCCGGCGGCCCCGCTATTCCTGGCTACGGTGGCGACCATGGTAACGGCGGGGCAGGGGGTGCTAAGAATCTCCGGTGGAGGTTCGGTTGCCACCTTAGACGACTCGACCTGGCAACGTACAACGCACGCATCCTGAGGACTGACGAGAAGATCGTGGAGCTGGAAGAAGAGATGGACAAGTTGCGCTGGCATATTATAGGATTATCCGAAGTCCGAAGAGAGGGGGAGGACACGGTAATCCTCGAATCCGGCAACTTGCTCTATCACCGGGAGGGCGACCATCTGTCCCAAGGAGGTGTCGGATTTATCGTCCACAAGTCTCTCGTTAACAACGTTGTAAAGATCGGGAGTGTGTCGACGAGGGTTGCGTACCTTATACTCAGAATCACATACAGGTTTACGCACCAACCTCGGCACACCTCGATAAGGAGGTGGAGGAAATGTATGAGGATATCTCTAGAGCCATGCATTCCTCCAACTTCATGGAGAAAGAAAGACTCTTTATGATGAACTCTTTCTTCCAGAAGCGGCCCCACAGGAAGTGGACCTGGTCGAGCCCCGACGGTTCGACAAAAAATGAGATTGACTTCATTATGACGACCAGACGACAACTGTTCAGTGATGTCTCCGTGATCGCGAGGGTGAAAACTGGTAGCGATCACCGAATGGTTAGAGGCACACTGAACCTAAACGTAAAGTTGGAGAGGTCTCGTCTAATGAAGTCAACGCTCCGTCCCCCTCGTGCTCTAATCCAAAGTCCCGAAACCTTTCAGCTCGAGTTACAAAACCGTTTTCAGTGCCTAGAAGACTGCAATGAAGTGGACGATATGAATGACAAGCTCGTGGAAACTGTCCATGCGGTCGGAGCTAAGTTCTGCAAGACCCGCCGCAGAAGAACACAAAAACTCTCCGATCACACTCTTAATCTCATGGCTGTTAGACGGGAGATGAAGCTACATTCTTCAACAGACTTGACAGCATACAGGCATCTGAACAGACAGATCTCCAAATGCATGCGGCGGGACTTACGCAACTTCAATACAGCTCGTATTGAAGAAGCGATCGAGCGGAACCAAGGCTCCAAAGTCTTTGCCAGAGATCTGTCTGCCAGAAAGAGCCAACTGTCAAAGCTGAAGACAGAATGTGGCAGAATCGTTTCCGGGACACCTGAGATTTTGAGTGAGATTGAGAGGTTCTATGGGCAGTTGTACACGTCATCGTTGGAGCCACAGTCTCATCTGACACTATTCCGAAGATATCCCGGACGTCAGTCTGAGCGAGATTAGAATGGCTCTCCAGCACCTTAAAAACGGTAAGGCCCCAGGCGAGGATCGAATTACAGCGGAGCTTCTGAAAGCGGGTGGAAAACCGGTACTTGAAGTCCTACAGAGGCTCTTTAATTCCGTCCTCCATGGTGGCATTACACCGGAGGCGTGGAGCAGAAGTGCGGTGGTCTTGTTCTTCAAGAAAGGTGACAACGCTCTCTTGAAGAACTACAGACCGATTTCCCTTCTGAGCCGCGTCTACGTGCTGTTTTCGAGAGTCATTACGAATCGTCTTGCGCGCAGACCCTACGACTTCCAGCCTCCCGAACAAGCCGGTTTCCGAAAGGGCTTTAGCACCATAGACCACATACATACCCTTCGGCAAATTGTACAGAAGTCTGAAGAGTACAATTTGCCACTATGTCTGGCGTATGTGGACTATGAGAAAGCTTTTGATTCCGTCGAAATTTGGGCGGTGCTGCAGTCCCTTAAGCGGTGCCAAGTTGACTGTCGGTATATCGAAGTGTTGAAGTGCTTGTACAGTAGGGCTACGATGACTATCCTAGTACAGAACCAGAGTACGAAACCTATCCTATTGCAGAGAGGTGTAAGACAGGGTGACGTCATATCCCCGAAACTCTTCACCGCTGCATTGGAAGACGTTATCAAGCTTCTGGACTGGAAAGGATACGGTATCAACATCAATGGCGAGTACATCACTCACCTTCGATTTGCCGACGATATAGTCCTTATGGCAGAATCGCTGGAGGACCTAAGCACTATGCTCAATGACCTCAATAGTGTTTCCCAACGGATAGGTCTTAAGATGAACATGGACAAAACTAAGATCATGTTTAATGTCCATGTCACACCTATGCCGGTAGTTGTTGGGAACACTAAGCTCGAAGTTGTTGACGAGTATGTTTACCTGGGACAAATAGTCCGACTAGGTAAGTCCAACTTCGACCGAGAGGTCAATCGACGGATTCAACTCAGTTGGGCAGCGTTCGGGAAATTACGGCACATCTTCTCGTCAGGTATACCTCAAACCTTGAAAACGAGACTGTACACCCAGTGCGTGTTGCCAGTGATGACATACGGAACTGAGACGTGGTCCTTCACTGCTGGCCGGATGAGGAAGCTCAAGGTCGCTCAGCGAGCTATGGAGAGGGCTATGCTCGGAGTTTCTCTGCGTGATAAACTTAGGAATGAGGATATCCGCAGTAGAACCAGAGTAACCGACATAGCCCAACGGATTAGTAAGCTGAAGTGGCAGTGGGCCGGCCATATATAGCTCGAAGAACCGACAACCGATGGGGAAGAAAGGTTCTGGAGTGGCAGCCTCGTACCGGTAGGCGAAGTGTAGGGCGTCCCCCCACGAGATGGAGTGACGACCTGGTAAGACATGCAGGAAGTCGATGGATGCAGGTGGCTGAGGACCGTGCTTTGTGGCATTCTTTGGGGGAGGCCTATGTTCAGCAGTGGACTTGTGAAGGGCTGTAATGATGATGAATGATGATGAATATAAAATTTTGATTATACCTTATTTTGTTAAATATGGAATTAGTGTTATAATTATGAATTAATGCACTTACAGTTTGTTATAATACTGTTTTCCCATGAAAAGTGAAATTCACCCAAAGGGACCAGTTTATAGGCATCAAAAAGTATTTTGGCCCATGTGCGTTTGTTTGTGCAGGTGTCTGTGTCGATGCCGTCGCCGACGGGGCTGGGGGGCGGCGTGCTGCTGGGCGTGCAGCACGCGCCGCCGCAGCCGCAGCTGCTGCACCTCCTACCAGTGCAGCAGTGAGTATATCCCCCCCCCCCCCCTCCTCACATACCACTCTCATACACACTTAATCATTATCACATATTTATGACCATAATCTTAAACACACGCTTTTACAGATCGTGCCTACTTCTCTGGGTTATCCTAGAGGGGTAGACACGATCTTGACACCTTTTTTGTGTCTCCTTTACATTCATATACCTACACATACATACTCGTTTGTTAAGGGTACTCTTTAATCTCACCCATCTTCAATATATCGCTAATTTGGTTGATAAACTTACGTCTAGTGCGTCCCTTCCCGGCTCTGCCATTCACTTCTGCAACATAAAGTTGCTTTGTCACTCTTCTACATGACCAAACCACCGAAGCATTCCTTTCTCCAAACCACCGAAGCATTCCTTTCTTAATCCTGGTCACAAGATCATTTTCCAAACCACACTTCTCTTATCATACAATTTCTCTATCATTCAGATATTAAGTATCACATATTCTGTGACACGTATTCTGAACGACATTCACGCACACAGTCACACGCGATTGATTGTCGAATATGCACACGCAAATCACGCACACAGTCACACGCGATTGATTGTCGAATATGCACACGCAAACTGACAATGGGGTGATAAGTACACATCTGTTCACTTACTCGCCCACCTATCATTTTTCATCCCTAGATGATGAAACAAATTACCGTTTGACTGCAATGATAAAACTAATGGCTGCTTTTTAAGTTCTGATCTCATCGCCTCCTACTTGTTTAGCCAGATACTCCACATGCAAAATGTTGAATTTTGTGTATCATTTGTTCAGGCCAGTGAGTGGTGCAATTGTGCACAACTTGTCTGTGAGCGCTCCACCAGCCAACACTCTGCACCATATCTCGCAAGCCCACCAGCAAATTGAAGCTGCCTCTATACATCACAGTCAAGGTAAAATTTTATACTACTTTTATTTGTATTCAAACTTCATTATCTCATCGCTCTGTACCATCCAAGACAGATAGACAATTTATATTACCCACCAATACTTGACCGCTCCGTGGCGCAGTGGCTTGGCAATGAGTTGCTGCGCTGGGGGCCGCGGGTTCGAATCCCGCACGGAACAAATATTTGTATGGCCTACAAATAATTGTTCCGGGTTTGGATGTTTGTCCTTGTGCAATTTGTGTTTGTAAACTGCCTCCACGAATCAGTAGCAAATCCTAGTGTGGGTGTAACAGTTTTTTTTAAAAACTGATGTTCATGTATTATACTAATTTACATAATTTATTTTTTCCGTTATTTTAATAATACATAGAGAATAAAAGGAGCTTCATTATTGACCTTATAGCTATATCGAATATCTTCTAATAGTAGTTTTGATATGACGGACAGGTGGAGCGGCACACGCGGCTGCAGCAGGTCAGCCCGTTGAATTCAACCATGCCATTGAATACGTTAACAAGATCAAGGTGAGACTTATTTATATGTATAGTGCATTCCGAATAGGGTTGTTGCCATCTAAAATGAAAAAGCCGGACTCGGCGCTTGAAAAAGCCGGACTTTTGGCCCTAAAAGCCGGACAGTAATTTTTAGAAAGCCAAACGTACCTTCCTGAGGCCATGCAGCCAAAAAACTCACCAACTCCAACCCCCGAAAAAAAAAAAACTAAAATACACCTTTACATGCGTTAATTGTTTATTAATCAATCACAGCACAGTTTCAAGTGTATACGTTAGTTATTTATTAATCAATCACAGCACAGATTGAAATAAATTTAAACCACTTAATACCTACTTACAACAACAATCAACAAAACCACCTACTTACAATAACAATCAACAAAACCAGTCTTCTGT